CATGGATCATGCGTGGTGGCCGGGGTTCTTCAATTTTGTTAAAAGTTAATATCCTATCTATTAAGTACGTACCGGGGCTTGCCATAGAGAAAGGGAACTATGGATCTAAATTCTCTCAAGTATCCCAAATCTTTTTATTTAGTGAATACTCATACTCTAGCTGTAAGAATTTATCAATATTATCCCAAATCTTTTCATTTAGTAAATACTCATACTGTAGCTGTAAGAATTTATCAATATTATCCCAAATCTTTTCATTTAGTAAATACTCATACTGTAGCTGTAAGAATTTATCAATACTTAAAAAGTCACGCTTCATTGTAAATAAATGAGATAACGAGTTAAAAGAGACGATCACATCAAGTATGTATTTCAATCACATTTTTCTTTAATCACATTTAACTCTTGAATTAAGGCATATGACACAGTTAAAGGTAGAGTTGTAACATTTTAGTTTTTTTATTTTTTATTTTTTTGAAGATTGTGTTTATATCACTTGCAGCGGTTTCATGAAATTGACGATTTTTGTAATACCATTTGGAACGCATATGAAATAAAAGAATTTGGTACATTGCCCTAATCCGAGTAGGACGGCCAACATCCACCATCGAAATTAATCAACACTTATTCTTTCATGATTAAGAAATTGATCATTGCTGGACGGACGAGGCTGCACTTCGGTGGGACCAAAGCCATCTCTTCTGCAACCGTACCGTGTGCTTACTGCTTACTTGTTTGGAAGGTTGGGGCCTTTTGTTGGGGGGGGGGGGGGGGAACTGTTTTTCAAAAGGGCCCACAGCCATGAGTCATCTTATATTCCAATCCCTTTGTTATTTACTTTCCAATCCCTCACTTTTATTTTATTTTATTTTAGGTCATGTACTGTGTGGCATTGAGGAAAACAAGGCAGGGAGAGGCTACCTCTCATTGTTTGGTTTGGTGCGTGGGTGTGGCGTCTCCTCGTATTAAAAAAACAAAAAAAACAAAAAAAGAAAAAAAAAAAAAACATCTGATGGAAAGAGGAGGCTTCCCAAGGACAACCATTTGTTTGGACTAAATTAACCCTGTCAAAAAATAAATTACCTTTGCGTGTGGTCCATGTGCCAAAAAAGATTAATTATCGAATGCAATAAAAACTAATTAATTATATTATTTATTTTACTTTTTAAACCTGAATATGTTCTTTTCTACAAAGAATAAAAAATTTAAAATGTTTTATTTTTTTAACCCGTTAATGTAATTTTTTTAGAGCAAGAGCGGGCAATAACGTCTTTTTATTATTCTTAGCTCTCCCTCTCTCTTACTATATATATATATATATATATATAATTCACTCATGCCAAGCAAGTTATCCTCCCTTTCCTTTTAATTCATATCATGGCCTCAATACCCAAACTTCCCTCACAATAAAACCAAATATATACAGAGTACTATATCCATTTGAAGTCCCAGTCAGATGCACATAGCTCAGAAGCAGCTGACTGGCTGCTCTCTATTTTTCCTTCTTTAAATGTTTCTTATTCTCATTCATATATCCAATGATCACATTTCATCCGTGTGTTAAAAATAATATACGCGCGCGCGAGAGTATTACTACTTTATTTTAATATTTAGTTTATTAATAAATATCAACCCTTCGACGATAAAAGAAAATGATGTTTAATTCTTATTTATACATATTATATAATATTGGCACATGATGCTTCCCTGCATAACCTCATGAAGCCCACTTTCTTTACATGTTGCTCTCATCCACGTCGTTAGTGCAGTTCCAGGTTAGGAGTGACAAATTGTGAGATTTTTTGCACCTTTAACAAACGCCACCTGATATATTATAGAAGTGGAGAATGATGTAAATTGATACATAGTTCCTTTTCCTCCTTTTATGAATCTTAGTTTCAGTTCTTATTAAAAAATTGCTCATATTGAGTTTTTGAGGATATACATAATTTACATTTTCAATATATGAACAGTCAAGTATACTTTTAAGAAATTATTAATATAAGGAATTGTGAGTAATTAGGATTAATTATAGCCATTTTATAAGGAATCTCACGAAACTACATTATTCATTATTTATGAGCGGTATCCTCTGTTTTTTTTTTTTTTGGTATTTTATAATATTCATGATCAATGATGAATTGATATTTATGCATGTTTTATTGTCCACGAATAGTAAGCCAGCCGTGTGGTGAAGCTCTAGTGCTCTAGTCAGCACCGCGGTCCGAGTGGTCACGTCCTGTTTATTAGTCAATACCAGAAAATCATATGACAAAAATATAGCTTGCCAGTTTAATGTTGTAAACAAGGACCTCACCTCAACGTACATGCGGACCAGTTCATGAGGCTTGGTTGGTCCAATTGAATCTATATATGTTGTCAATATTAATATCAATGCATAGAGATCATAAAATGTATATGAGATTGCATTAATCATTTACAAAATACCAAGCAGCATGATTTACTTCAACTCCATATGATATTGCTCTGTCACCTGTTTGCTTCAAACTAAACCGTTTAACTTTCCGAACTTGAAATCTCCTGACACGAATTATTTGAAGCATTAAGTATGATATTTTAGACTCTCTGCACTGTGGTTATGTGTAGAGCATTGAAAAAAGACTGATATATATATATATATATAGAACTATTCTCTCTCTCTCTCTCTCTCTTATGTATCCATTTTTGCTTTCTTGAAATAACACATGCAATATTTTCAGAAAATCGAGATTGAAAGAAAAGACGCTCGATGGTAATTGGAAACAACAGACTGGCCGCTCGTAAAATTAAATCTTAATTAAATTAGGAAATTTTTTGTCTTTTAGAGGATGAGACTACTCTCAAATCAGTTATTCATTATTATTAGTTGAAAACCATAAATTTGTTTTTCATCAAATTAAAGAAAATAATTAACTGAGCGTCCATAGATATGGCTACGTGGCGTTTGACGACCCAATCAAAGATGGCAAATCTCATAATGTGATGGGTGTCCCGAAAAGGTCGTGCTTATCTGAAGGAGATCATGTGGCTGTGAGCGACAATTTGTATCTAACATTTTTGTTTCTGTGTATATATTCTTCAATAATTATTAATAATACGGGATGAGTTCATGTGGCCTGTTCCAATCTTAATCAATCTACACTTTGATTCGGAATCATGACCAATATGAATAACATCACCAACAGCTACTATTTCTGATTACGCATGGTGCGGCTTCTCCACCATGCTTGGCTCCTTCAAATTTGTCAGCTTGTTCATTGTTATAAGTTAATTTCTTGTTGCAGCTTTAAAATGCCAAGGTAGCAAAAGCTAGCACTTTTTCTTTTTTGTCTTTTCACTAAACAAGGTCAAATTTTACTAATCACAGTAACAGATTACCCTAATTAGTCATATATAGACGGAAAAAGCTAATCATTGAGGGTCAATATTTCCTGAAAAAAGGAAGTGGGCGCAGGGGGATGCTGTAGTTTTAATGTAATTAACAAGTTGGGTCCCTATATATTTAATAAGCGATGACTAGTACTACAACCACCACCATTAAACCCTCATAATTTCATGACGTAGTAAGCTAATTATTAGGCATGCAATGAAGCCTATGTGGGGGCAGTAACACCTCTAAGTACGCAGTCAAATGAATCATACAGATAGCACCAACTTATCACAACTTTTATATTATATATAGAAGATAATAGGTTTCACGCCATTCTCCCTGTTCAATGAAGCATTTTCTTCCCCCTCTGCCTCCAACTTAAATCCCATGAGCTAACCACGTTATGTTGTGGTTTTCACATTTGATGGGTTTTACCTAGTGGGCCTCCGTTTGCATAATTACGCTATATTTGGAAGTTGGAATGGAAATTATTCCTTTATTGTTCATTAAAAATGTGTGTATATTATATTAAAAAAAGTGTGTTCATATATATATATATACATAAAGTATAGGGATTAGCACATTTTTTAAGATTCGACTCCCGTTGCTCTTCGAGACAATTTTTAAATTTTTACTCTTCGAGATTATTTACTATGACGTAGGATGGGGTTGATGGTTAGGCAAAATTGATGTATAAATATATCATTATTAGGGACACTCCAGTCAAGTTGCGGGGATAGCTCAGTTGGGAGAGCGTCAGACTGAAGATCTGAAGGTCGCGTGTTCGATCCACGCTCACCGCAATGGTTCTTTTTCTTCTTTGGATTTAAGATCTGAAGCCCACGACTGGGGTCCAATGATCACAACGACGGGAAGGCGAAGAGGACGGAAGTGGTTGTTCCAGTGGCCACCACCATCCAAGGGAGGATTTTCAGTTTTTCACGAGGCGGCACCCGATGGCTGGGCTCCGAAACTCCGACATTTGGAAGAAATGCACGGCGGAGGCTTATCATAACAAAGGCATGGAATCCGGCGGGATAGGATGCTGCCGTCTTTCAAGTTCTCAACCTCTGGCTAGAAAGTAGAAACAGGGCTCTTGAGGTAAGCATTTGTATTTACTTATTTATTTTTGGGGCAATACTTCCCTGTACTAATTAGAGTTAGAGAAATGAGTTCTATTGATGATGAGAATATAAAACTTGGTCCATATAAAATATGGGAAAGCATAGCATTTTGCTTTCAGTTCTTTCTCTACCTTTTTTTTTTAATGTTTTAAAATTGTACATTTTTTTTATTATTTTTATTTCTTTGAGGTTTTTATACTTTGTTTAAAAAGGGATCGAAAATAATAAAAAATAAAAATGTAAAAACTTAAGATATTAAAAAAAAATATAATATCAAAAGCAAAACGTGAGTAAAATAGAGTATCAAAAGTATATATTTTTTTTTAAATATTTCTCAGGCCAAAATTAAGATACTCTAACGGTAATTAGATTGAAGGAAGTGTCAAACTACTGCTCAAAAGCAGCGACCTCAGTCGTTTTTAATCTGCAATCTAAATGAGATTCTTTTTGTTTAACTTCTAATACTAAGAACCATAGCCACTTAATCACTAACAGAACATACAATCTAAAAATATGGTTTCTTTTTACCTCAAGAAGATGTCAAATGCTTGTTATCTTCGGGACTGTGAATCACATAAACATCATAGACAACAGCACATGCGCTAGACTACTCAATACACTACGCAGTCCTATAAGCCTACAACTGTGCACAACCTGTAATGCCTCCACCGTGTAAATGAAAAGCTGCTAAATTTACAATTTCTTTGCCTCCACCAACTTGTCCTGTGGAAATGCCAATTATATTTTCATCTCAAGATACAAGGAAGAGAAAGCTCCTGAAAGGCGTGAACACAGTCCATGAAACTATTCCTTTTCCCGTTGTTGCCTTCAGCTTTTCTGTGCTTGAGCAAAGAGAATTTGCATAATGTATGCTATAGTCCTCTTGAACTTATCTTCCCCCACCACTTTTGACAACTAATTTCGGCTTCTGGACTCCCTGTCTTACAAAGCCTGGCTTTTGTTTCCCGTAATCTTCCCTTGTATTCTTTCTTCCATCCTTCAAATCGGCGTTTAAGCTGCCGAAGTTCTTCGTTGGGATTCATGTGAGCAGGGCGCCCTAATTTAACTGCAAGTAGAGCTTTGGCATCGTCGTCAAAAATCTGTCTCCGCTGCTCAAATTCTTTCATGAGATTGCTGACAGCGTTGAAAGTATCATTGGCATTTCTCCCTGCTCCATTCTCAAATGGAGTGCTAGGAAACTTGATAGGTGTGCTGCCCGCGGGTGTTCTAGATTCCATGGAAGTAGCATCTTCAGAGTCATAGAAGCAAGGTGACATAGCATCATATCTTCCAGGTTGATCAGTGGAGTTCTCAGCTGCAAGGCTCCTCCTAGCCACCGAAAGACTCTTCTGCATTCAAATTGCAATTGAAATATGGATCATTTTTTTCAGAAGAATATATGTATAACTTAACTGAGATATAAAACACCTAGGCATCTGAACTGTTTACGAACTCACATCACAGCAGCTTAAAATAATAAGAGGAAACTGCTTTCTCAGTATCAGCTCTTTCTTATATCACCAATGACAAACTAAAAGCTAAAAGCCTTAAATCATCTCATAATCAAACCAATTGAGAGTTAAGAGTTCTAATGCGTAGCTGTCTTTTCGATGACAGCAAAAAACGTGCAGTTTTATGGGATGATGCAGGGGAATGTGAAAGAGAATCGTAATCACAAGGTTTCACAGAAAAATGAACTAATTGAAAATCTGGTTTGAAGAGGTCAAACAAATGGATCCAATCCATTTAGACCACAGTATCATAGACGTGTTAAGTCAAAAATTGAAGACTCGAATAAACTGTAAACTTACTTGCAAAGATGCCATCTGTTTTTGCCACATCTGTTCCATCGATTTCATCTTCATCTCATACTCAATCCACCTTGTCTCAAACTGTTTTAATTGTTCCCTCAATGCAGTATTTTCCTCTTCCTTCTGCTTCAGAGTTGTTTCAGCCTTGACAACCTGGTTCTGGAGTTCTAAAGTTGAAGGCAGATTCTGAACCTGATCTTTAGATAAATCCTGCTAAACCAATAAGAGGACCTTTTATCGTCTTGAGTGGTCCACACCTATTTGTATATCATCAAACAGTATATACTATGTTCATAAACAAGATTCTTTTGAAAGGCCAATGAGAAAGACATGATTACACGAATCTTTTGATTCTCTCCAAGAAAAAAGGTGAAAGGGGCTTGAAGGGAGACCTAAATTTTGGACCACATATTCATTGAAAAGAATATCAGGTGGTATCCTGCAGTTGACCAGAACAATCCAGGGAATCTAGGTCTTTTTCCATACGAAACACCAGCACACTCACTCCTGGGTTTGAATAACAAGTAGAAAGTAAACTGAAACTACATTGCTTCACATTTGTATTCATGTAAATTACCATAGTGTCAGATAGGAGAAACAAGGGGACAGAATTACAGGGGGCAAAAACTAGAGTTTAGTGCATTTTCCGAAAATGTTTAAAGTGCAGAACTAAGTTAAGTACCTTCACTTCTGTCATCTTAGAACGTGACTTTTGCTTATGTTTAGAAATTTTACCATCTTTCTTCAACTTATGAAAGACACTGCTAGCACGCCTTCGCACCAACCACCCGCGGATCACTGCATGAAACAAAAAGACTAATAAGAAAACCATGCGTAACCCACCTCCCAATTGTAAACTTGACAATAATCGTAGTCACACTAACCAGATTGTAAACGGGTGATTGCCTGGGTCTGGTGAAGCTTTTCAGAAGCAATGGATGCAGACTTCATGGCATGATATGTCTTTCTCGCAATCTCACGACGAACAACTGCAATGCAACCAAATTAGCTATCACAATGTATAAGCAAGACAGGAAAATGCTAAAAGGAAAACAGATCAATTATTCGCAGCAAAAATTTGAGCCATTGATTCAGGCATGGAAAATTTTTGAAGAATAACTAAGGTCTTCAATGACAAAATTCTCTTAAGGAAAGGAAACCAAACGGCACAGAGGTTTCTTTTTGGGCTAAATATCATTTCTCTTTTAATGAAAATATTTCGCTTGAACAAGTAGCACAAAAATGAGGAAAACGTCAACCCTAAAATCAGAATAATAATTTTGATCAAAATGAAAGTATTAACAAAGTATAGACTTTTATTACTGGATTGTAAAGCTATTGCTCCGTTCTTGAGGACATAGAAGTTTCGGCGAGCTTGATGACCACGTAACCATTTTTGAACCCGAAGTATTCTCACTATAATCTTTTTCCTCCTATCCTCCAAGACACCAATCTACAAAACCAATCAGCACATAAAAATTATTAAGTCAGAGATACTGGTACATGAATGAAAGTGTTTTAAATCAGTCATATAGTTTAACATTCTGCCAAGCGAACATCCAAAATTCACAACAGATACTAGATTAGTGAAACAAGTAGTTTACGACTTTTAAAATCATATCAACTGCAGCGTCAAATCAACCATAATGATCAGCTCCTCCTGGTATCTTCAATACTGCTAAAATGTGAGCAGGTCCTCATATCTTATCTACATTCAGGTAAAAAATAATAGGGGGAAAAAGAAGAAAGTAGGTCTTCCAACCCCACACATAATAATTGGACGTACCTGCCCTCCTCGAAGATACAGTTTTGTGTAGCCAACTTGGTACATTTCAGGAGGGATATTAAACTGTTGTAAAACAGAAACTGAGATGCTTAATGGATCCTGGGATGCACTGGCCTCAGAAAGCAAAAAAAACCCATACCTACATTCATTCAGGAATGTAAATCCACCTGTCATTCAATATAATCTAAAAAGTAAATGAGGTTTATCCAATACCTTCTGGCAAACTCTTGATGCAGTATTCGAGTAGGATAGCCAGCCCTTGAAATTCTAACAATCTCCAAAACTCCACAACACATGAGCTGTTGTAAGACAAGGTCCTCGTCATATATTCCAGCACTGTGCCTAGTATTTGGCTTTATGCAGCGAATAAAGTGAGGTGTGGTGCTCTCCAACTGATTCATCAACTTGAACAATTGGCCCTAGAGGGAGAGGGAGAAAGAGACAGGGATTAGCGTTGTTTTATTTCCTAAAAGTTAAGACATTTCCCTTATTATTTAATACTCCCAAAATCCCTGCACTAAATGTTTCTAAATGATGTGAGGGATAGACTTCATTTTTTATTGGGATCTCACACTTCATTAAATAATTAATTTCTGTAACAGGTGATGACATGATAATTTCTTTTCAAATGTTGCTGTGAAGAAACATCTTAACGAATACCACAATGGTACCTTGAACGTTGTCCCTACACTCTGCTTTTGTGAACCCAGTGCACCTACGTGGGAGGAATTTGAGTGCTTAGATTGATCTATCTTTTTGGAGAACAACTGCAGCAGTTGACAATTGCATGATGACAGGAGTTGAATGGAATCTGATGGCAGTGGATCTCTGTTCTTTTCTAGAAATCCATTTGTGTCATAAGAAACCTAATTGAGGTCCAGGCGTCAGTGAAATTACTAAAGTAAATATAACGTTGACTTCCACGTCCACATTCTACATATATCAACAGGCCAAGGAAAAAAAGTAGAAAGCAAAGTTCTCTCAGTGCCACTAATAGTTACAGCTTGTAAGCTTTTCCCACATGCATCAGCATGCTCAACATCTGAATATATTAGGGTCAAAATGTCTGTGTATAAGTAACAGCTATTAAAATGATCCAAATGTTAAGTTATATGCAATTAAATTGCAGGAAAATAGAGTAACGGCATAGGTCTGATCATTAAATTGTAGGTAGGAAGAAAGACATTAGACAAATCAACGTCTTTTGAAGCAGTCTAAATGATCATGTTCGGGAATAGTTGGATCCTTGGCAAAAAATATGCCACATAAGATTAGATTCCAGATCATAAACGGAAAACATAATAGCTACATGTAATGAATGGCTATGACGAGAGAACTGACATAGATACCGATACCTTTTTTCCTAAAGCATTTTAATAATATTAATATCAAGCAGGCTTGCTCAAATGCATGATACTGTAGTCGTCTGTATGAAAATTTATAATTTTTTGAAACATAATGGCAAAGCCAGGACGAGTTAATAATAACCTCTACGGCCTCAAAAACTACAATTAATGAAGATAATGCAGCAATATACGAAAATCCTAAAAACTGATCAGTAACCAACCTCCCCTGCATAGTGACGAACACAAAAACCTCTGCCTCTTTCTCCTTTGAAACAAGGATTGGCGTTCAAGTACTGTCTAAGTTTGTTGGCAAATGTTATATCAGTAGCCTTGGGGAAATTTGATTCCTCATCCAACAGAGAGATCAGCCCCAGAGGCTTCTGCGCCATTCACAACAGATAATTAATGATTATTACTAATAACAAAGATAATACGGTAAATTACGGCCAACACTGGGACCTGAACTCATAAGACAATTTTGGGAAATAATATAATTTCTTAATAGAATAATGCATCGAATTGAAACTCCTCAAAATTATAACAGCCGTATTTTTGGTAAAAGTGGAGACTTGGAGTACTGTAGCAGCACCTTCTCAAAAAGATCCAAGCACTCTTGATTGTCCTCAAAATCCACTTTTGTCCAATCAACGCCGTCCAATTCATAGTCCTGAAACATAAACATAAATTTCAATGTTGGTATTATGTGTAAATCAATGCCGCTCAAGAGTACACCAAACCACATGCTTCACATGCAATATTTACCTTGGTTCTCAAACAGCTAATTCATAAAACATAAGAAAAGTAATTTATAACAGTACAGGTGATATATTTTGATTATCACAACTCGGTGTTTAAAGTTTTAAGAGCAAATATAGAAATTGGAAAGAGCAATCTTGAATGATAACGCAATTACTTACATCCTGCTCAAGTTTAAACAGATGTCGATTGAAATGTTGTTGAAGCCTCTCATTGGCATAATTTATACAAAACTGTTCGAAGCTGTTTTTCTGAAATGTAAAAACCATTGAAATTAAAAATATATACAATTTTTTTGAAGCATCACTAAACAGTAACACATTTATACAAATCAAATACCTGGAATGATTCAAACCCATAGATATCAAGGATACTTATGGATCTCCCAGTACGTCGTTTACCCACTTCAAGTGACTTGTTAATTTGTTCTACAAGCCAGTCAAATAAGCTTGCATATATGAACTTTGCCAATCCATCCCTTGTGTCAGTTGCCTACACAACAAGGGATAGAAAGAAATAAAATTGAATTTACTGCATCTGGGAACTGCAAAAACTAGATTTATTAAACTGTACGAGTAATAAACTGACCTGCCACAATGTCAACCTTTTGGCAATACTATCTTTGCCAGCTTGGATTTTTCGAGTAGATAAAGTCACCATTAAATCCTTGGAACTGCAACCCATTAGTAGGGCCGCACTGGTAACAGCTGCCAAAGCAAATATATAAAGTTATAAACTCATGTCATTTTTAAGTTGTAATTGAGAATTCATGTACGTTCTCATATGCTACATGTTTGTCATGGTCAAAATGAAATTATGAACCAATTCAAAAGCTGTCTCCTACAAAATACAGAATTAGATATGACTGAGTTGGTACAGTACAGCAAAGGATCAAAGATTGTTCTAGCTAGCTTTAACCATTCATTGAATCATTGCCACTGATATATCAATGAGAGTACAAGGTGTAAGAAGTCCATGAGCATGCATGATACCAAGACTATGAATCTTACCTTCATCGTCTACAACCTCAATGTGATTTTCGTTGTCGGTTACTTTGAATGATATATTTCCTAGCCATAGTATTGCAGCGATCATCTTGAAGACTAGCTCTTGATCCTCTTTGCAAATTCGAACATCATCCAGTGCTTTCTGAGGAAAAAGTGTTGGACCAAAAAGTAGGGAAAATGACAAGAAGACATGTTAGTTTCATATGAAGCCATCAACGAATTAAACAGGGCAATGTTCACCAAATGAATTGTCAAGTGTTATAGTTTATAGTATACCATTAGTTTATGGAACTTTTTAACATCATCAATACCATCAATTGTCATGCAGTCACTTTGACTGAGATATTTATATTCACTAGCAGCTTTAAGATTCAGTCTCTCTGCACAGGAAAAAGATATTTCTGGTTATAAGTGAATTTATAACAATATAAAGTACTCCCTCCATCCCAAATTATAGGGTACTTTTGAAGAAGTTTCTTCGTCCCAAAATATGAGACACTTTGAGTAGATTAAGGTTTTATTAAATGCGCCAATTCCAATGTTACCCTTTCTCTTTCTATAAATGATCTTTGTCCCTTTTCTTTTCAATATATTAAATTATGGGTATTTTTGAAAATTTATATTTTTGTTTTGGAAAGATAAAGTTGTTAGGTGTATTTGCTGAGGTTTATTGGTATATAAGATTTTGTCTAAAAATGTATTATAATTTGGAAGGGAGCAATAAAAAAATCACACAGCACAAGCTATTTCTAGTACACATGCAAAGGTGGTTGTTGAAGAGTTTATATGTTAAAACAATTCTGGCTTTAAAATCTATTTAGCTAGTCAATGATGAAGAAGTCTTTACTGATGATACAGGAAGACGGAACTCTTTATTTTTTTCCTGCACAAGTAAGGACCAGACTCTAAGTCAGAAGTTCTATGGCTAATTTTTGACCATTTAAAACATAGTAGTAGGTCATGTTTATAATGGTGAAGTAGGACTAGGAAATAAAAATCCTCAAGCTGAGAACTCGATGATCAAACACTGAAGTTCTATCAGTAAAAAACAGAGCACAGGACATCGTTGTTGGCCTTGAGCCACTTAAGGAAAACAAAAATAATTCCACTGAATAATGATACGGCATAAGTATCTACACAAGTTAATAGATTGCTTACAAGTATATCACCTTTAATATCAGGCGAAGAACCAGCACAAAGTTGGTAAAAGATATGATATGACCTCTCACCATTGGTCAGTTGAACAACTCTTGACTGCTCAAAACGACGTTATTTCAGAAGTGACCAAGGGCAAATTACAGCTTAACAATAAAGTTCAAGTAGGGCGTCATTCAGTACCTTTTCTAACAGAACTATTAAAGCGTGTGGGATTCGGCAGATGACAAACAAAAGGCCACAAGAGAATGTTAAGTCGGTAATCACAATGAAAATAAATGTAGAAGGATAACACAAATGCATTTAAAATATTTAACTTGAACAGGCTTACAGGTTTGAATTTTGGCCCCACACATCCTCCCCAGGGCGCTGAAATGAATTTCAATCAACTTCCCCTGCACTCAAGGAAAAAAGAATTTCAAGCAATTGCTCAGCCCTTAAACCTCATCCAAAATGTACTGCGTAGCCTTCAGAAAATTAGAATTGCAGTTTATGGACACATTTGATAGAAAACCTAACAAGGTATAGAAACCATATAGACCAAAAGCACCAAAAAGTTCAATTATAATGAAAAGAACCACAAACTCACAAATCTGCTAGAGTTGTCATTCCTAGATGTTTTCGCATTCCCAAAAGCTTCTAGTATACAATTTGTCTGAAGGACTTCCTTTTCTATCCCACAACTGCTGCCACTTAGAACTGCCAAGTATTGCATAGCAAATTTTGCTGTCTCTGTCTTACCAGATCCACTTTCGCCACTATAAACAGAAGTCTAACAATCAATATTTCAATTAAACATGTCATCATATTTTATCGCTACTATCACAGTTAAATGCTACTGACTTCCAGCAAATATCTTTAGATTCGTGAGCAAAACAGAAACTGAGACATGGCTGACCTTATAATAATGGATTGGTTTACTTCACCTGCAAAGTATGAAAAGCAAACAGAAAGCCTTTAGAAATAAATCGTACACTTATAATCATAGCATGCATATCTCAAAGGAGAAACAAACAGGAGGGAAAGGAATAATTATAATCACCTCTCATCATCTCATTAAAAGCCACATCTGCCATAGCATAAACGTGAGGACTATCCATAGTCTTCTGCCTATACGCTGAGATATAATCATTTCCATATATCTGGATCTCTTTGAAGGGGTTGAGTGCAATTAAAACGGGTCCTGCTTTATTCTACATGCATAAAGCACGAGTGGCATATGAGAGCAAATGGGTGATAAAAGAAGAAGAAGAAGAAGAAGCCAGAATAGAGACGTACATAAATCATGTCCTGAGAATATCTAAACTGGAGATTATGAAGAACTGAGGGCTCATTTAAGTAACTAAGCTGTATAAGATCATCCACACCCTCTAAAATATCTGGATTAGCTGGTAAAAGCTCCGATCTTGCCACTTTCATTTTCTAAATGAACAAACCAATGGCACAAACAATGCATCACCTTACATAAGTTGTATTAAGATTATCCTTTATAGACACGGAGAGCTTAGAAACTTACGCCTCCGTTTGAGAGCGAAACAAAAGCTTCATCTCCTGAAGTTGATTGTATCTGTCCTAGAGCCCACCGTCCACTTGGCGACCTACACCAAACACGTAGTTTCTGCGAAACGACCAAAAACAAAAGGAAACTTGTGAAATGCAGCATGCGACTAACAATTTTATCTTTGCCAATGGTTAGCAGATGGTAAAACAATCAGCCAATCGCAATGATCTTGTACAACAACAAATACTGAAGAAAGTCTGTTTTTTAATGAACTTTTTATACAATCAACATTGTAGCAGCACTTGCTACTTGATTGCCTGCACAAAATAGGGAGGCTCCAGGTGAAGAAACAAGTGCAGAAAAGAAACAAGGGAACCAAACAGCAGCAACTGTTAAAATTTCATCCGCGAACCAAGTGATCGGAATGTCATGCATCAAAGTTTGAACGAGTAGTGAATAAATAATAACTATTACAACATCTTTGCAGTGCCAAGTTACCTTTTTTATGTAATAAGCAACGTTGTCGTCACCAGCCAATTCCTGAATCTTCCCCGATGTCTCTATGGAAGCAGTATATACTGAAACAGCGTCTTCTGATGATGGTTGGTTCATATTCTCTTCCGATGTCACGATGTAAGGCGATTCTATGTCTTGCTTCATCTTCTTGCTCGCAAAACTCCCTTTTCTCTTATGTCCCGCGTCCCCTTCTTTCTTCTTGGTCCCTTCTTTTGCCTTTGCATTGGAATTATTCTTGGAGCCTGTTGTTGCATTCTGATCACCTTCAATCCTAAATTTATTCGGCAACGACCGTCCGGCTGAGGGAAGCCGAGCTCTGGACGTCGGACGAGCTGGCAATGCTGGCGGCAAGTCCTTGGGCTTCTCTTCTTCTCCTCTCCGCCGGATTGATTCAAGCATTTCTTCTAGCGAGCTCCTCGCTATCGCCGAAGGCGTAGACGATAACATTTTTTGGTTCCCAAAACCCCAAAATTTCACAGAAGGATATTCCCAAATTTCTGTCTCAAACTCTCGTAGCCAACTCAACATTCATCTCTCTGTCTTGGTATCAAAATTCCACCAGTACATTGCCGATGACATCAAAATAGAACAAGCCTCTTTAGAGATTTAACGTCGAAATGCTAGTCCCGTTCTTTAACTAGGAATTCCGGACACAGCATAGAAATAATAAAATGAATAAGCTCCAAGGGCGAGAAGGAATAGTGAGAATTGGTTTATCTCCTCGATTCAAAACAGACTCTGAAATCCCATTTGCCAAATCGAGGAGATGCACGGGTTTTGAGTGGTAAAAGTTACAGGGTGGAAGAGCAAGGTAGAGGGAGGTTTCTGCAGAGAACAAACCTCCTCTCAGAGTCGGAAAAAGGAGGGAAAGGATGAAAACAGGAACAATTTAGGAAAATTGCTGTTGCAGTATTTGTTTTCCTTTCCGTTAGACAACAAAGCCAAACAATTCTCGTTTTCCTCTGCTCCTCAAAACGCAAACATGCTCACGAAGAGAAAATTTTTGGTCATCGTCGCTGAGTTGTTTTGCTTTCTCCGTTTTGGCCCGAGAGTTCAAATATTTCAGGAGAGAAGACAAGGCATAGGCGTTCGTTATTTAAGAAAACCGTTTGAATCTTTTATTTTATGCAGAACCAATGCACCTTCCTTATTGCATGCATGATTATTCTAGTCTAGTGCTACGGTAATATAATTAATTCTATTCATATTGTTAAGCTTCCAACCTAAATGGATTGTTTATAATTTATAAATACTTAACTTTTCTAGTAAAGAAAACGGCAAGACTTAAAAGAGTATTATGACTTGATTGAGAACGACCAAAGGCCATAACGTGGCGGGAAAGGTGACACGATTGCATTCAAGAAGAAGGTTGTTAAATGGCCTTCATATTTCAAATTATTACAAAACTAGCATCCCCCTCGTTTGGTTCAGACGCAAACCTGTTCTTTTTTTTTTTTTGGTTATTTTATTACTATGAAATTCAGGATTTATCGTGATATAATTTGGTTGAGGCGGGTGTAATAATTAATAAAAACAGCTTCTAGAAATAATAATAAAAATTTTATCAAAATTTACAAAATGCCCCACAAATCCGTTCACATAAAGCTAATATATTATTGTTTCATGAGATTGAATTGGAATACTAGTTTTTTTTTGTTGAATTATAAGAATTTATTGGTCAAGTTGTTTGTAGCTATATCTATAATACAAAACTAATGTTCATATTAAATTATTAATACAGGGAATATTCAAGAGCAGAATCACTAAGAAGTTTATACAATCGCATTATTATATGAAGCATATTGAATTGGAATATAATTGACAAGCGGATACAGCCAAGCACTTCAAATTTACAGCGAAAGTGAATGAGTGACACGGTGTCTATTTTTGGGGATAAAAAAAAAGGAGATGAAACGTCCATTTGGCAAGGAGGGTAGTGGTTGCAAATTTCTATCAATGAGGCTCTTAGTGTCCCAAATGGTTTCAAACTCGTTGATAATAAATGTATGCTTGGGGACACTTGTAATGACAATTATGAATACATTGAGAGGACGTGACAAACATTTTATATAGACTTTAAATTATGAACTTCACTTGATAGGAAGGTGAGGTCGCTACCTATCTTAAATTTCTGATCCCACAAGTCTCTTTCATTTTCTTCTTATTTGTCCTCTTTTTTCTTTTTATTTTGTTAATAGTAAAGTCAAACTTTACTAGCAATTGTGACATTTATGCTTTTTTTTTTTCCTTTTCACATTCAGTATCTTAAAGAGTCTAAATATATTAGATTCATTATCCGCTCAATTTACTCCAAAGTAATCCAAATCACCACTTAAATAAGGCTCTCTTTGAAAGAGTTTTATAAATACCACCAGCGAGACATGCTTTACATATTCAGTTACGTTGCACCATATTATGAGACTATAAGATGAAACTCTAGGTTAAGTTATTCAAGTCCTTAACCACTTGGACAAATATCCTTTGGTGACATTTATGCATTGATATTATATGTATTTAAAAACTTTTTCCTTTCTTTTTAATTGCATTCTGTCTTTTCTTTTTTCATGGCCCATATTTCTAACAAGTTAGATCGGTAGAGTATAACAAGCACCATGTGCATAATATATGCAAAATATAATTATCATAATTTAGGCTATATATATATATATAAGATTTTGTTAAAATTTAAGTTTACCGAATACTTCCTCTTTTAAATATATTACTAATCAAGCTTAATTTCATCAATTTCAAATCCTCTCATATTTGTATATGTAAAGATGTTAACCGATCCATATGTCAAATTAAAAAGATATTGAATCATAGTTGCTGTGTATATAAGTAGTTTGACTTTGGAAACTCGGGGGTGTTTAACCAGATGGGTGCTTTTGCATTGTGCTTTGTTGCAAAATGCAGATTCCACCATCCAAATATGCTCTAAAAGACTAAAACTATGGTTTTTGCGGAAGCAAATAACTGCTCAATGATTTTTAAGGCTAAACCAGACACGCAGAATACAATTTGTCGTTTTGAAGATGTTTGCATCGTTTCATGTTCACGTGGGCGCAAAGCAACAATCAAACCTGATGTGATATTGTAAGGGTTATGGATGTAACGGTTGTTGTTTTCCCGTTAACGTTGCCTTGATTTTGTGCTTTTATGTATGACTAATAACGCCATTTGCGATTCAGGTGACCCCTTTTGGCCTGGTTGGTGGCACACCAAATGTATTCTATTATAGTTGTTGCATTGTTAGCAAGAATTTTCTAGCCTCCTAGCTGTGCTTGACTGATTACCTTGTCAATCAAATGATGCAACCTTTGGAATCGCCCCCCCCCCCCCCAATCAACATGCTTGTCATTTTGCCCATTAAGTACTATAGTATATCATCGCTCAAGATCTTCTCAGACATTTCATCTGAAGGGGAACTTTTCAACATGATTTTTTGATGTTTTCAGAGATTCGAATTTACAATATTATTCAAGTAACTTAGGTCCCTTCTTCTTAACCTTACTGTTATTGGTTTATGCAGTTTTACTAGTTTTGTCAGGGGAAATCTTACTGTCCTTGAAGTAAAATTCAAGGAACAATTCATACAGGTAAAGCCACTAAGCTGAGGGCTCTTATAAAGCGGCCATTGGGCATCATTGCCTGCTTTGGTTCTAATCATAATATCGGGTTCTTCTTCTTCCTTCCCCGTTTCAAAAAATTAAGAAACAAGAAGATCCAACAACTTGATTTCCCTGTTTAGCTGTTAGGCCCATATAAACAGTGCTGTAGTTATTGGGCCTAGAAGCAAATTTAATGGCGATGGCTTGAAGCCCATAATTCACGTACAACTTTTTTTTTTGGTTTAAAAAGTAAAAAAAGGAAGACTTTTTCTCTTGTTTGACTAAGAAGAAAAGAATGTGTGACGGGGGGGGGGGGAGGGGAAATTCGGAGAAAAATATGTAAAATCCATATGTTAAAACTTTCAATTTTTTTCTCCAAATATAAAAACATTTTGAAAAGAAAATTTAGTTTTCAAATTTAACCATGAATCTTTTTGTTTCATATTGCCTCTCTCCATTTTCATTCTAATTTTTCCTTCACTTTAGTATTTAGATTATTATATATTTAACAATTTAAGAAATAAAAATTAAAATTGGACAAGATAAATTTTTGAAAAAATTAATCTTTTAGTCCTCCAACTTTTAAATCATTTATAATTCAATCCCTCAACTATGACTTGCTATGACTAAGTCTTTCAATTTTAACTCACCTATAACTCAGTCTCTCAACTTTTGAATCACTTACAAATTAGTCCCTTAACTTTTGTTAATTTTTTTTTTCATGTTAGCTTATATGTCACATTAATGAATAAGAAGAGGGTATTTTAAAATAATATATGAGCATTTTTTTATCCCTCTTATTTGATAAAAAATTTTTTAAAAAAATTAAAAAATAAGGATCGAGTTATAAGTAAATCAAAAGTTGAGGGATTGAGTTGTAGCAAGTTATAATTGAAGGACTGAGTCATAACGAGTTATAGTTGAGGAATTGAGTTATAAATGAGTTAAAAGTTAAAGGGCTAAAAGATTAATTTTCTCTAAATTTTTAGAAGCAAGAGGTAATAAAAGAATTTAATATTTTTTTATTTAATCAATAATATAAAATAAAAATCACATAAATAATATGTTAAAATATTAAACTTTATTATATATAATATATTTCTTTAAATAATAAGGTTAGTATTATATATATGAAATTAATATTTTATTTTCTTCCTCTCGTTTTTTCTCACTCAGCCAAGTGGCCAAGCCAAACGTAAAAAGAGAAGTATATCCTCTAATTTTTTATTCTCTCTATTTTCTCTTTTTCTTTTTCTTTTTTAATGGGCCAAGCACAGCAAAAGAGAGTGAATTTGACCAACTCACACATAAAAACACAGAGCGAAGATGGTGGATCATTGAAGTGGTGAGTTCTCAGGTGGAGATCAAGAGCAACATCCGTGCAAGGTAATCGGCCGTGGATTAGCTTCTTGGTATTAAAATGGCAGTTGGAAAATGGACTTGGTTTCTTTTACGAAACTGGAATTAGCACTTGGTCTAATATAGTTGGATGGCAGTTTTGCAATCAGATTATTCCATAACTACATACATGACGTCAATCAGCTTGCTAAGCTCAACGCAAATAAGTTCATCTTGCACGATATCACTCACCATCATCTACAGGCTCCTCCAAGCCGCCCCCATTCTTTCGGTTTTGCTTTATCTGTTGAAGCATCTTGAAGCATTTTTTTTAATTGGTAAAGATCATCAAACAGTTTCACGTACATGTGGATTAACGTTAAATCTACACACTGCCACACCAATGTGGAGGAACCTGTAAGAGGGACACTTTGTCCACATGAACAAGTTATATACTTAACGAAACCGCTTAAAGTGTCTTATTGGATTTTTTAAGAAAAGAAAGAAAGAAAGAAACTTAGGTAGTGCTCCAATGCCTTCGATTAAAAGCAACAAGATATGTAATGGACATAACATGTCTTTCTGATTTGTGACTGCTGACTTGGTCAAAACGTAATGTTCCTTTGATTGAACTAATCCCAGGGACGGAAGGCTTTATAAACAGAGAGGAATCCATTTCTGATTACAATAATGGGCTTGGTAATTGGGTTATTAATAGGTTGGGAATTTAGTTTCATCCTAACATAGTTGCTTTGCTTGTATTGCTCGTGCTCATCCACCCTGTGAGGAGAGAGGAGAGGATAAACAGTTTTGAAAGTTATTTAGTGATGGTTGTTTTACTATAAAATATGCTTATAACTTTGTGAATGCATGTACAAGGAGCAATGCAGATAATATTTGGAAGATACTTTGGAGATGGCTGATCGTGAAAAGATTAAGTCCTTCATCTGGCTCTTTGTTCATGAAAGAACTCACACTTGTGATCTCATAATTAAGAGGGGACTATCAATAGACTAGAATTGCCTTTATGGATGCGAGACACTAGAAGACTCTATGCACTTACTCAGAGACTACCCGCATGCTAGAGAACGGTGGCGAGCGTTTGTCCGAGATGACCATTGGAATATGTTCACCAACTTGCAAGGAGCCAGTTGGATGAAATGGAATTTGAGAAAAGAAGCAAGTAATGAATATACCAATAAAATCAATTGGGCTACTCTATTTGGATATGTTTGTTGCGATATTTGGATTACAGGGTGCAAAAGACTCTTTCATGAGGATGAGGATGAGAGGAATAGTTCAATTGTGTCTAGTTTCTTTAAAGCTTGTAGTGATCATGATCTCTTACACAGAGCTCCACTGTTATCGTTTGAAAAAACAACCACTAGAGCTATAGATAGATTTAGGAGTGGTTTTATTAATTTGGAAGTGGATGGCTTAATGCTCCCAAAAAATCAATCTGGTTGTCTAGGTGCAATTTGGTTTGATTAGCGTGTTTGGATTCAAGGTTTTAGCTGCGACCTTTTTTATGTTCCTCTACCATAGTTGAAGTACTAGCTATTTTCCACGGATTGGATTTGTGCTAGAACAAGGGATGCCGAAAAGTGAACTTACACGCTGATTCCATTGAAGCTATTAACCTTCTTACTTGGGACTGTCATGAAGATCACCCATTTAGAGATATCATCACTGACGTGAAGATATTTTTCCACCAGGATTGGATTCTGGAAGTCGATCACTTGTATCATGATCATAGTTTTTATGCTGATTTTTTAGCTAGAAATGCTCATAGTTTAGGTGATTATGCTTTTTGTATCTTTAATAATCTTCCAAGCTTTCCTCAAGGGTTAGAGAATGATGAGGGATCCTCCCCTCTTGCGCTGAATATTTCGAACTATCTGTAGCCTCTAATGGCACCTTGTTTCTAGTTTATAATCAAAAAGCAACAAGAATGATGGCAACAGTAAGGGAAAATGAAAGCGGATCTTGTTTTCGAGAGCCGGGATGACGTGGAATCTTCTGTAAGCTTCCAAAGCAATCGGTTTATCATTTGCCAATGAGGCAAAACCTTTTTCCTTTCGCTATTTTCTTTTCCCCCCCAACTCTCTTTTTATAGATGCTTTCTAAATCTGAGCCTTCCATGCCTTCGGCTTTTCTAAATGCTAATATAGAAAGATACATTACAACCAAGAAAATGATAGTGCAAACACCTTATTCAAATTGAAATTCATTACTTTCTATTGTTGTAACAACAAATTGAATTTTGTGTACAAAAGAAATCACGATCCTTCCTTCATGGTATGGATGACTACGCTACAAAAGCTTTTTGTAGTTAATCATTTAAATTTTAGTTGAAGTTGAAATTTTTTGAGAGAATTACATTTAAATCTTATATAAAAAATTAATTACTGTAGGTTGATTAATAATTGAATTAAATTATATTAAAGTGATCAATGAGTAATTAATTTTCTTAAGTGAAATTTAATATAATTGTCCCAAATTCTTTTGCGCGGTTAAAAAAGAAGCAAACTTTACACCGCCGATGATGAAGCATCTTTCATCGGCCATTACCCACCAAATTGGATGGCACGTTTTCAGTGAGCCCCGCGACTAGTCATCTCATGGTACTGTCTCAACGACTCCTCCCTCTGTAACCTCATTTCCTCGTTGAATTTCTTAATGAAAGCTTCCACACGCCGGTTCAAGTCGTCCTGACTCAGCGACGGCTCTTTCCTCAGCCTCCCTGAACCGGAACCCGTCGATTGGCTTGGCGACGCGTTCTCACCCCGTGTTTTGTTCCGTCCGTTGAAAGTCTCATATTTCTTCACGGCAGGCGTGCCGTTCTGGTCCGTCAGCGGTGAATTACGACGCAGCTGCGAGTCGCACGTGTCGGACTTCTTCAGGTGCCTGGTTAACGGCATCGCACGCCCTTCCGTTATCATCTTCCACGTGCTCTCTAGAGTGTCCTGCCGCTTCACCTTATTACTCCCAGAGCTGCCTTCCCTCCTGGAACCACAGATCAAATCATCGTTCTATCAGATTTTTTTCCCTTCCAAACTTCAAATCGAGAAACGAAAATCGAAAGTTGATTTCAGAGATAGAGAGAGGTACCTTCAGGACTGGCTGCTTTGACGGCTTTTCGGTGGCCGAATCTGGCAGAAACCGGGGGTTTCTCATTCTCATTTTGAAATGACAAATCCAACGAGTCCTTTCTCTGTAAGCTTGTCCTGACGTGAATCTTCGCTTCATCGGAGCGATTCGCGACTTCCTTATTATCCTTCAACTTCAGTGTCTTTGGTTCCTGTACATTCGCGTCATAAACATGCGCCGCAGAAACAACGCCATTGGAGACAGCGTACTCCATCCGTACATCGCCGGATATCATGATCGGCTCCTGCTCAAGGTTCTGTGAAGGCGGAAGGACCACTGTATTGTACTCGGTAGGCAAGTCTTCGGAGATCTTGAGCGGTGCCGTCTCGAGAGTCTGTATGGATGGAAGGAGCACTGGATAGTCTGGCGAGTGAGTATGGTCGAGTTTATGCTGGTGGTGGAGTCTGGAAGAAGCAACGATGCTGATGATGATGCAGTTCATAAGTATGTAGAGGTAAGGAGGTCTTACGCATGTAAGCATGAAGGTCCAGATAGAAGGGCCTTCGGAGACGATGAAATCTGAGACTAGCGGAACTGTATGCTTCAGAGACAGTGCCGCAATTAAAACCCCGGCAGAAACCAGGATCACCTTGAGGGTTGAGTTTGTTGAAAATGAAGCCATTAAAGATAATAACTATATAAAAAGATGTATTCGACTATATATTTCTCCGGAACTTACCTTCTCCGGCGATTTCTTTTGATTTGAGAGAGGGTGCGCCGTGAAGAGGTATTTATAGCTCCAGAAACAGTGCTTATCACATGATGAGCCATCTGTACTGTCTTCATTTTTAATATAAATGGCCCATATTTTCATGTTTTATGTTTATATTTTATTTTGTATTTATTAAAATAAAAATTATAAATAAGTAATAAATCTATTCTATTATTAATTTAAATAATATAAATTTAATTTGAATGATTTAATTTAATATAAATTAATTATTTAAATATATTTCAAACAATTTCAATTTAAAATTTACAAGTTACAATATTTTATTGATTTTTTTAAAGTGTTAGTTTGAATATTATTTTATTTTATTATTTTTAATATTATATTTATCAAAATAATAATTTTAAAAAAATTTAATATTAAATTTAAACTATCCATAATACATTTTGTCAATTTATAACAATTAAAAAAATTAATATTAAATTAGATTATTTAAATTAAATTTATATTGTCTGAATTAATAATAAAATAAATTTATTACAAATTTATATTTTTTATAATAAATATAAGAATAAAATCTTAAAATTTCGACCCTCCAAATGATGAGCACCATCATCCGAAACCAAGAGCCAGAAAAAATAACGTAAATTTGACAATCTTTCCTTTTGTAAATTCCGTTCTAATTACTGTTTTATGTACAGTAAAGCACTGTTCTTTTTACAGTACAAAAATTATTTAATATTTTTTTTTTTTATATAACTATATCACAAAAACCCACAATTGTGTAATAATCTATAATTCTACATGTGACTTATGAAATACTCACTTCAATCCCATTTCATAAAACATTTTGGTGGAGATTTGTCATATTAAAATATAAGATATTTTAATAAAAATAATATTTAATTAATAATTTTTTAAATATTAATACTTTTTAAGTATTATCTTTTTTATTTTTTTAAAATTTTTTAAGCTCATTGACTAAGAAGCACTGAATGCAAATTCAACAATTTTAGAGACAGACAAATGAAAATAAATTTTTCTTTAACCCCATGCATCAGATAGGTAATTATCCACTTTGTGATGAAATGTGGACCCAAGATTGGGACACACAGTGCATATGTCAGTATGTGTTTATTAAATTATTGTGCATTGCATCCAAACTCAGTAAATAGGACATGAATAATTTTTGCGAGAAAATTCTTGAGCGTACCGTATGCATATTTGTAACCTTACATTTTTGCTTCCTATACGTAAGGGGTATTAATTTTAAAGAATAGTAAAATTTTAAGCTTTTAGAATTTATTATCATGGTATTTTAAAAACTAGGTTAGCTTATAATATTACTTATCAATTTTGGGTCTTCGATAATCAATCATCTTGATGCTGCAAGCAGGGACGGGGCCAACTATTAGGAAACAAATTTTATAATTTAGAAATATTAGATACCAAATTATGTACGATATTATATATACTTTTTAGAAAATTTTTAAAATGTTTAAAATAAAATCATATAGCATACCTTTTTTTTTTTTTTGCTGCCAGAATCATATAACATACTTATCTTCTCTCTAATCCCCTATAAGGTACTTTTTTAAATAAAAAAGTTAGTCTAAATTATAAGACACTCAATTAGGATATCAAATGATACTCTATTTTTACTCCCTATAATTTTAATATTTTTTGTAGCTTGAACAAGGCATGATGAGGTTCTCTTTAATTAATAAGAGTATGAGTGCAATATTAAAAATTTTTTTAAAATAAAAAAATGATAATTTTTCTTATCTACATGAAAAATATTGAGGAGTGTATATAGTGAAGGGAGTGAACTCCCCCTTATAATTTATTTTTTAAAAGTTTTATTTAGTCTAAAATACCTAATAATTAGTAGTTTTTATAATTATTATTTAACTATACTCCTATTTTATTTATTATTTTTTGAAAAAAATTATACATTAAAATTTTAATTATTATTATTAACACACTTATATAAAATATTTAATAAACATAGAGCTGAAAACATGTACAATTTTTTATGAGATTAAAATTTTATCTAACTTTTTTTTAGAATTGTAAAATAGTTATTAATGTCACATATTATAGCCTAGGGGGAATATATTTATGTATATATACATATATAATTTGTGTGTGTGTGTGTGATATGGAATTAGGGCATTCCTCACGCAAGCTCTCCCCATGGCAGGGGGCACGGCCCCCTTGTGAAACATGTTGCCCTTGGTTGCAACTTGCAAGGTAGCTAGTGATAAGAGTATATTAGTTTTGATACTCATCACATGATGAGCAATCTGAATGTTCAGAGTTTTAATTTGAACGGTCTAGATTTATATATTTTATTTATATTTAATAAAATAAAAAATTTTAATTTTAACAAATTTATTTTATCATCAATCTAAACAATACAAATTTAATCTAAAAGATAAATTTAATATCAAATTTTTTTATAATTTTTATAAATTGATTATCTAGATATATTGTGAAATGCCTGAATTTAATATTAATTTTTTTAAAAAAAATTATTTTAGTAAATATAATATTAAAAAATTAAAATAAAGATAATCTTCAAACTGAATTTTAAAAAAATTTAAAAATTATAATTTTTAAAATAATAATTAAAAATTTTAAATTTAGACCGTGTAGAATACATCTAAATAGTTAATGTATAAAAATATTTAATATTAAATTTATCATCTAAATTAAATCTGTATTATTCATATTGATAATAGAACAGAGCTATTAAAATTTATAATTTTTATTTTATTAAATATAAAATAAAATATAAAAATATGGACTGTTCAGATTACTCATCAATATCGAAACTGTACCCGTGATAGGAGATTGGTACCCCCTCCCCTCCTCTTTTGATAAGCACACTCCTTTAGTTTTATTTATAACTATCGTGTTTGCTTCATTCATTCTTAAAATGGAAGCTTCCCGATTTCCATTCGGGGAAGGAAATTTCCATGCAAGGGGGGTGTGTCCCAGACTCCTAGTATGGCTTTGTCGGTCTGTTTTTATTTTAGATTTCAACCGAATATTTAGCTTGATCTCTACAAATAATTACATGTTGGGTAAAATTTACCAATAATATAAATATGATAGAACAAGTGATGAGCGAAAATAATTTGTAAAAGAAGACGTATTAATTGAAGAGTAGAAAAGAAATAAATAATGAGTACGAGAGTTACAAACAAAAGGTAGAGAAGCATATGAAATGAGAAGGTGAACATGGGTGTGTATTAAGCTAGATATGAAGCCGGCTTGGACGGCTCATTAGAATTGAAGTAAACTATAATTAAAGGTGTAATTCTCGGTATTAGGATCCCCTAGTCTCATGCTCAATCACAATAAAGACGCAACACTGTGCCACTCCCTCACTCCCGGTTGTTTCTAGATATTGGTTTTAAAATGTGTTTGACTTAGTGATTAGCGTGAAGCTGTGTTGTCATACGAACAATTATCAAATATGGTATTCCTTTGTCCGGAATAACAAAAGCCACTTCCTTGGAGTTCGATCTTGGGCGGTGACAGTGAGGAGCAAAGCACGTGGTGGTCAGTCTATTTTAAATATATCACGACCGTACCGTTCCTCAACGGCTATATTATTTATTTGACCGTTAAACCCGGGGCTCTCACCCGTTCTGTTCTGGGTCTTCCCCCTCGCGGCCCGTTTCGGCTCTTTTCGGATCTTCTATCTCCACGTGCTCAATCTCACCGCCCTCGAGTTCTTTTACAAATCGTAATAGCCTTTGAATTGCTTAGATCTAAACCCTATCTGATCGGAAAACATTTATTATTATGGGATAGGAGCCGGCATCCACGCAAGACTAACGCTATTAGTTTGTTGACGAAGCTTAGTCCGCTTGGTTTTCTTTTATTTTATGTTCAACAAATAAAATTTTATTTTTAAAAAATTAAAAATTGTGTAGAATATTTTATAAAAAAACACATTTTAAAAGTACATTCAAACAGTAGTTAAAAGTGAATTTCTGAAACGTAACTATTTAAAACTTTTAAAAAGTAGATTTGAAAAGTAAGAGATTATTTAACCATACTACTCTAAGTTTAATTTCTTTTTTTTTTAAAAAATAGTTACTTCATTAAAAATATAATTCTTATTTTAATAATAATAATTAGATATCAATTTTTTTAGTATTATAAATTGAGTAATTAATTATGTTAATTTTTAACATTAATGTATAATAAAAATTACAAATCTTTATTACATCTTTTAAAAGTACAAATAAAAAAGACAAATAACTTAGAAATCAAATTTTTAACATTATAGATCAAAATTTATATTATTAAAATATTTATTATATTTTTTAAATATTTTAAATATATTACATTTGTATAATAAAAATTATAAATCATTATAAATTAATGTCCTTTTTGATAATTGTACATTCAAAAGCACATTTCACTATCATAAATTAAATAATTTTTAATATATCAAATTACTTTTGAAAAAATATATCTTAAATATAAATTTTGTTACAACAACTTATTTTTATTCAACTGATTTTTATCAAATAAATTTTTATTAAGTAAATTTTTTATAAATTAAAATTAAACGCACACTTATTATTCTTGGTTGAAACGCAAAACCAGATAGCAACCAATGATAATGAATGGCTTTAGACACATTGAAGTCCCTGTCACGTTCAAAAAGAGTGCATGATGGTGCCTTAGTGACCTCATCAATCGGCTCAGTCAAAAGAATTCACAAATGTGTCTTGGAAAATAACGCTATATGATATACATAGGCATGAGGGGCGGTGAGATCATCTTTCATCAACTCAATTACTCCAGGATGACCACTCTTCCACTTAGCCGCACTTAATTTCCTTTTTTACGTGGCTGAGTTTTATTTGGGTTGAGTCATGTAAAGCGAGCACCAACTACGATCAAGCTTCTGTTTTGAACTGTTTTTATTTTATTTTTTTTAATAATTAATATTTATAGAATATGTTATAAAAGAAAAAAATAATAATACATATATATATATATATATATTTTT